TACAAGTTTACATAAACCATCATACTGTAAATGTTAAATGCAGTTAATCACATCATTTTCAAATCTTGCTGGTTATCCTCAAAATGAAAATTGTTTATAGTTGAAACTAATCAGACTCAAAGCTACACAGATTGAAAGGCCTAGAATATGAATGAGCCTTTATTTCTGTTATGACAGTTATAGTTTAAATTGTATTTATTCCTAAAAATGTTAATGTTATATAAAAATGTTAATATACATAATTAACATGTACTCATATTTAATTAAAAAATGATTTAATTTACTTTTTGAACAGCTCAACCATTTGGTAGAGTTCTATAATTTAGAAGTAGACTCGTAAAAAATGACTTTGTGCATCATTTGTGTCAGCAGGTTATCATGACAAAGAGTAGTACAGGTGACCTCTAGTGAAAGTTGTAATTATGACTCAAGTAAAGGGGGAGGTTATTACGAGTGGGATGAGTGTTTGAATGGGTCAGAAAACAAGGAGACTTTATGTTTTGGGGCTGACACTGATCCTGGCCTTCTCTTTCACATTACTGCCTGTCTTTCAGGAAATATGGCCAGGGTTTATTAGTTCTTTAACAATGTGGAAGTAAAAAAAAAAAAAAAAAATGCCATTCTCCACCAAAAGGCTGAGTCGGGGTGTGTATAACTAAAGTCAAGCTCCATAGCATAACAAAGACAGTTCATATATCTAAGATGTTTCTTTTGATCTTTTTCAGTGTAGAGCATGTAGTCCTTTAGTCATGATTGAGTCCTATTAACTGTTCAGCATGATTTTATTGATTTGGTTGTACAAACCCTCCATTTCATGTTTTGGATTTATTAGCTCATTTTAAAACAAGCTGGCAGGCACAAGCGGGCCTCAGCTAGCAGGCCTGACATTTACTGATGAGTTCCAGTTCACAGAATGCCCTCTGGGAAATGTATCAAAGGAGACGATCAAATAGACACTGACTTTGTTTGTTCATCTTACAGAAGGAGACTGTGGTGTTTAAGAATTCTTCAGTGTCATTAGTTTAACATGCTACAGAACCCCTTTGTGGTGCCTGGCTAACTACAGGCTGTATGTAGAGGCTCCAGTGGTACAATCGGCCAGTGTGCGGTACTTATAAGACAGTGACCTGTAAAGCGATGCTGAGGTTGTGAGTTTGAGTCTCACCTGGAGCAGTGAAGTTTTGGCTCAGTGATGGTCTAGTGGCTATGATTCAGCGGTCTCACCGCTACAGCCTGGGCTTGATTTCTGGTCAGGGGGACTTTGGCTGTGGAAAGGCATGAGTAGAGTAATTGTTTCCCAACCAGAAGGTTGGCGGTTTGAGTCACAGTGCCTGCAATCCATGTGTTTAAGTGTCCTTAGGCAAGACATTGAACCCCAAGTTGCTCCTGAGGGCCAGAGGGGCATCATTGGGGGTTGAGTTGGCACACACCGGAAACAAATTCCTTGTATGTATGACATACTTGGCCAAAATAAAGTGATTATCAGTTAGTGGAATAAACTGAGTTGTTATTTTGTAGTCCCTATATGCAGATTCATTCATTTATCCATAACAGATAAAGAGTTCTTTGGCTCTCATATGAGGGGAAAAGGATCAAATTAAGTCAAACAGATGATAAAACTGTGAGATGGCTGTTATTCATTTTTTCCATTGAAATATTATAGAAATCAGAAGTAAACATAAAATTCAAGAAACTTTTATTTACAAAATATGTAGCAATAACATCTGAAAAATGCACTTAGAGGATACAGAGTAGGGTAGTTAATTGTCTATATGAAGTGAAATGGATGAGAGGAAATACACGTTGGGA